GGACAGACGGGCAGCGGACAGACGGGAACCCACCCCAAACCCGACAGGCCCCTCCCACCCGATGGTTACCCGATCCAAGGCCGGCATCTTTTGCCCAAAACAAATCCTAAACCTCAACACCGTTGTACCCATCTCTCCCATACCCCCTACCTACCGTAGTGCTCTCAAAGATCCTAACTGGTACAATGCTATGCTAGATGAATATAATGCCTTGATAGCTAATCATACATGGGATCTAGTACCCCCCTCCCCTAACCAAAATGTGATCTCCGGAAAATGGCTCTTCCGCCACAAACTTGGCCCAACAGGTGAACTATCCAGGTACAAAGCCCGATGGGTTGTTCGTGGGTTCAACCAACGCCATGGCATCGACTACGACGAGACTTTCAGCCCGGTTGTCAAACCGGCCACTATACGCATCGTTCTGAGCCTAGCCGTGTCCAGAGGATGGCCGATCCACCAGTTCGACGTCAAAAATGCTTTCTTGCAGGCCTACCTCTCAAATACTGTTTACACCGCTCAGCCTTCGGGATTTCAGGACCCTGCTCGCCCACATTATGTCTGCAAACTAAATAAGGCACTCTATGGACTCAAGCAAGCCCCCCGTTCTTGGTACCAGTGATTCACGGGATTTGTTCTCTCTCTTGGCTTCAGTGGGTGCAAGAGTGATGCCTCCTTGTTTGTATACAGTCGCGGATAGGACATGACCCTACTTCCGATCTATGTTGATGACATTGTCCTCACTACATCATCTACTGCCCTACTACACCAGCTCACAGAACGCCTAAAAGGGAAGTTTGCTATGATAGATATGGGTGACCTTCACTTCTTTCTTGGGATCAATGTCCAGCGGACCTCTCACGGCCTATTCCTCACCCAGACTCAGTTTATCTATGACATCCTCGAGCGGGCAGGCATGACCTCGTGCAAACCTGTTTCCACACCCGTGGACACCCGCGGGAAGCTCTCGGCCACCGTTGGTCCTCCACCCCCAGATCCCTCTCTTTATCGCTCTATTGTGCGAGCACTGCAGTACCTCACCTTCACACGCCCGGATATTACCTATGCCGTACAGCAGCTATGTCTCTTTCTTCATGATCCTCGAGTGCAGTATGTCACAGCCATGAAGCGCGTTCTGCGCTATCTTCATGGTACACCTACTCATGGCATCACCATCTCACCATCTCAGACAGATCATATGCGGGCATACTCTGATGCATATTGGGCTGGCTGCCCAGATACTCGTCGATCGACATCCGGTTACTGCATTTTCCTAGGCGACAATCTCATCTCCTAGTTGTCTAAGCGGCAGCTCACCACCTCTCGATCCAGTGCTAAAGCAGAATATCGAGCTGTCGCTAATGCCGTCGCTGAAGTATGTTGGGTGCGCAATCTTCTTCTAGAACTTCGGCAACCTCTGATGCGCTCCACACTGGTTTTCTGTGATAACATCAGTGCTGTCTACCTTTCGGCCAATCCAGTCAAACATCAGCGCACAAAGCACATTGAGGTAGATATTCATTTCGTGTGAGACAGAGTAGCCCTTGGTCAGATACGTGTCCTCCATGTGCCCTCTTAATTACAGTATGCTGACATCTTCACCAAGGGACTACCCTCCATGGTCTTCTCCGAGTTTCGAGATTGTCTGGGCGTGCGGCGATCTTCTTTAGTGCCGTTGGGAGCATGTTAAATATATTCTTACTATATTTAATATTAATGTATATTGGTAGCTTCCATAATTGTATAGGGTGTAATTAATACTGTTTCCTATTATCATTAGGAAACTCCTGTATATATACACATGTAATCTCCCATAATAATTTATGTGAAAATATTCATTCTTCAGTACCATTCCCCAAAAATATTATCTTTATTTAAATGTTCAAGAATAGACCATATAATTTTCAAAGGGTTCAGGGATATTTGGTGTACTTTTTAATGTTCAGGGATAAATCATGTAATTTTTGAAGAATTCAAATGTATTTGGTGTACTTTTTATTGTTTAGGGGCAAATAATGCACCATCTGCGAAGTGAAAGCAAGTGCTCTTACATTTCTTAGGTGACACATTGACCCAAAGTTTAAGTTGAGAATATCTTCAGTTGAAAACTTCCCAAAAAATGTGAGATGTCCTTAAGATAAGTTTTGGGGACATTCATGATACCTTGCTCCGAGAACTAACTATGCAATTGAATGAAATTTGTTTACTTGATTATAAATGGATAAAGAATTTCAACAAAGACATGTTGCGCCTAAAGGCACATCTCCATTTTAGTGGTAAGTCAATCATAGAAGATGAAATGATTTAGAAAGCTCTTTCCACATTTCCTACTTCATCCATGATATTGTTGAACCACTATCGGATTAAGCATGAAAATAAAAGGATCACAACCTTGAGCAAGTTAATGAATCCTCCTTCCATCCAGCATAGATCTTCTCAGATACTATTCACATGGTCAAACTTAACACACTTTGTTTGCTTATTTTTACTATCCATTTCATGAAATAATATAATCTTGTCTCATTTAGTTTTGTGTAACTTTTCATGTAGTTTTTTACTATATAAATTTTGTTTTAAAATTTTACTCCTATAATCAAACAAATTGATTTGAAAATAAAGTCGGTCAAGCCTCGTAACGCGTAATGAGAAGATATTTAGTGGATAAAGGGAGTATTTTTCAAGCAACATGAAAGCATTATGTAGTTCTTTCATACAATAATGCTCTGCTTAGTACGGCAAATAAAATTCTTGAAGCCAATTTTAGTACAACTAGGACAACGTGGAAATCACCGTAATGAAAGGGCTCTTAGACGCGTTGACCCTTATCCACGTGAAAATAACTCTAATCATGGGAAGGATCGTGGTGGTCGTGGTAGAGATCGTGGAGGTATGGCGAAGAACATCCAATGATAGGTTGAGCAGTCAAACAAACAAAAGATCAAGTGCATCGAAAGGTTCTCCAATGAAAAAGGAATGAGTTGGGTGTGAGCCATGCTACCGTTGTGGAGTAAGTGGGCACTAGCATTGTCGTGCTAGTGAGAAAGGTGCACCATTGTATACGAAATATCTATAATCTAGAAAACATGAATCTCATATCAGCAGACAACTCACAACTACACTTAACTAAACCATGGGAGCACAACTGGCGTACCTTTGTCAACGGCGGTACACTCACGCTACTTTAGTAGGATTTTGACGGCGATACGTGCCTATGCCCACCCTCCTCTACCCCTTAAACAAATATAAGCGAGAGATATTTCTACCGCTGCCATAGAGGACGACTTTCATGAACTGGCGGCGGCGGAGAGCAGCGAATCAGCAAAGAATATGTCGGGCAACACGAGTAGCGGGGAAAGAAATTTAAAATTCAATGAAATGTTTAGGGTGGGTGGGAGGGGGTGGGTGAGGGTTTGGTGTGGGTGGAAGAAGAAGAGAAAATATGGAAATTGAAAGGGAAAAAAAAAAAGAAATGAGTCAAAAGCATAATATTTAAATTTTGTAAACTTAAAATTTGACCCTAAGTGACCAACATGTCATCTATACACCTCTTAACAAACTTTTGGTGAAAGAAATTTACAATTTTGTAGGTACCCTAGCTCTTATGTTTTTTCTTCTTCTATTCGCAATTGCAATAGATATTGATCATACAAATTTATATTTCAATGTCATTTATCGTGCACGTCCTCCTCTTCCTACTGGTTTCCCTCCCTCAAAAAAAGTTCCACAACCACTCCTTGATCATGTGTGTGAGATGCAACAAGGGGGTTGAGGTGGATGACATCGAGTGAGGTGGCCGATTGGGAGGAAGGCTTCCATATTTTATAGCATAACAAATACATTTGTACAAATATTTAGGAAAAATTATTTTAAATAACCTCACTTTTTCACGTTTTTCAAAAATAATCTAATTTTTTACAGTCACTAGAAATAATCCCAATTTTTTGTATGTGTGCGAGTTTTAGGCGGCCCTTAAAAACTAACGGCCACTTAACAAAATTTTTAGAAAATGCATGTTTTTCGAAAATAAATGAAAGGTGGGATTATTTTAGGCAACTTTACTTTTTTCTTTCTTTAATTTTTAATTATAAATTTATGTTTTAAAAAATATAACAGTACACTCTTGTTAGAAATTTGTCTCAATTTTTTTTAAAAATAACGATTTATAAATTTTGTATATCTAGTTCAGGAGGGAATATAATATTGGATTTTTGAAAGATAATTCAGAGTATCGCTACAAAAAGAAATTGCAATACAAAAAAGTTATAGTTAGTTATAAAAATAATTGTGCCATTCTAGAGAAAAAATTATTGTGCCATTTCCACCACTTTTAAGTTGTTATTTTTGGGAAAACATTTATACTAAATTATCGAAAAAAAGTTACAAGTTTTGTAGTGCCATTTTAGAAAAAGTAATACGAGTAATATAATATTATTGATAAACATTCGGAGTATTGTTTATGAAAAAAATTGCTACACAACATAAAATGTAGTGAGTTGTAAACATAAAAGTTCCATTTCATAATTGTTGTAATGCTATTTTGTAAAACACATTTATACAGAATTATCAAAAAAAAATTATTACTTGATTATCGATTATTCAACAAATAATTAGTTTACTCTAAAAACTACTTAACTTTTGTATTATTTATAAAAACATTTCAAAAATTATACATTTAATTTAAAAGTTAGAAATTAAAAAATGAATAAAAAAGATAATTTACCTGAAATAACTCCACCTTTCATTTATTTACGGGGAAAAACATTTTCTAAAAATTCTGTTAAGCCACCGTTAACATCTTAACGACGACCCAAAACTCGTACACATAAGAAAAGGTGAATTATTTTACGTGACAATGAAAAATGAGATTTTTTTTAGAAAAATATGAAAAAGTGGGATTATTTGAAATAATTTTCCCAAATAATTATGGTTTGTGTATGTGATTGTCAAAATTGAGATTTCTAAAGAGTTTCCTATTTTTCGAGCCCTCCTTGCGGTGCATCCAAACACAACTTTAAATTTGCGGAAAGCATATGACTCTGTGTCATGGCAGTTCATGGTGTAGCTTATGAGAGGGATGAAATTTCCGGAGAAGTTTATTAAATGGATATCCTTCTGTATCACCACTCCTTCCTTTTCTATCAAAATTAATGGCCAGGTGGATGGTTTCTTCAGAGGGGGTAAAGGTCTGAGACAGGGAGATCCTATCTCTCCTCTCCTCTTCGTACTGGCCATGGAGTACTTGACAAGAACCCTACATTACCTTGCGGGCAGAAGGAGTTTCAAGTACCATCCCAGATGTAAAGATATGAAGCTTATTAACCTCAACTTTGCTGATGACCTAATAGTGGTCAGTAAAGCTGATCATGCCTCAATCTCTTGTGTGATGGAGGGTCTGGCCCACCTGTATGAAAGTGCAGGGCTCCAGCTGAATCCAAACAAATCCCAGGTATATTTTGGAGGGACTGATCAACAGTTGCAGTAAGAGCTCCTTGCCCTTACAGGTATGAGTAAAGGTATCTTACCTTTTACTTATTTGGGGGTTACTGTAAGTACAGTTAGACTTAAGAAGATTGATTGCAAAATCTTGCTAGAGAAAATGACTACTAGAATTACAACTTGGAGCTCGAGACACTTGTCCTATGCAGGGAGGATTAAGTTAATTAACTCTGTTTTGTTTGGCATCTATAACTTTTGGGCTAGAATTTTTGTCATTCCTGAAGCCGTCATTCATGATCTAAACGGCATTTGTAGAAATTTCTTATGGACAGGAAAAGCGGCACCAAAGCTCCCCCAATTAGCTGGAATGAAACTTGTCTACCTTTGAACAAAGGGGGTGCAGGTATAAAGAATCTGGGGATGTGGAATAAAGCATGCATTATGAAACTGATCTGGGACATAGCTAACAAAAAGACCTTTTGTGGGTCCGGTGGGTCCACACAAAGTACATTAAGGATGCTAACATATGGACCTATGCACCAAAAAAGGATTGCCCTTATTATTGGAGAATGATGAATGAGGTGAAAGAAGACTTTAAACACTATAATATTCCAGGAGAGTATACCGTAAGCAAGGGATATGATTGGCTCCTGAAGGATACACCGAGAAATGAGTGGTACAAATGGGTTTGGAGCAAAGCTTCACACCCGAAACATCAAATGATTCTTTGGCTCATCAAACATAAAAGGCTGAAGATTAGAAGTAGGCTAAGGAGATATCTGGAAGTCCAAGCAGAATGTGGGAACTGTGGAGAAAAAGAAGAGACATTTGAACATTTGTTTTGGGAGTGCACTATTGCAAAGGAGATTAGAGAGGAAATCTTCATGAGGATGGGGATAAAATGCAAAGCCACTTCCCTTGAGCACATGGAGACAGAACTGGGGAACATTAAGACAAAGAGGAGGAAACTAATGACTAATGCAGGGTGGGCGGCAGTATGTTATACCATCTGGAAAAAGAGGAATGATATTCACAATAAGAATAAAGATAAAGAAGGTTACCTTAAGAATGTTTTATTTTATCTTAGAATTCTCACTTATAAAAAAGTTGGATGTTGGTAGATAATAGTTACTTGATGTGTAAAATTTTTTGACTGGTTTGTTTGTGAATGATAAAAATGTGCATTTTTTGTTTAAAAAAAAAACTATTGGCAACAACGGCTTGTTGTTTTCTGTTATCGAGAATGGAAGATTTCACCGTCCATGTAGTGAGGAAAAAACGAGCGAACGGGAAGAGCCTCTCTGCTCTTCTCTTTTTGCCTCCTTTCGGATCCTCTCTTCTCCCATCTTCCCAAGCGCTATCGGAGGGGAAGGAAGTCTAGCCGCCGCCTGCCTGCCGCGGTTGTGCCGGGGTAGCGGTTGAGCTAGGCCTTAATTTTGTTGCCATAACATATATTTTTACAATCCGATTTGAGCTAAAATGGATTCCACGGTCCCGGATGACGGCTCCGCTGGCCCCCTCACCGTCGTGGCCGTCGATAAAGATAAGAACAGCGCCTCCGCCGTGAAATGGGCGGTCGATAATCTCCTTATCAGCAGTCCCTTTCTCATCCTTCTCCACGTCCGGAACAAATCATTACTAAATCGTAGGTACCCTAGCCCTAAGGTTTTTTTTCATCTGATCACTATTGCAATAGATATTGGTCCTGCGAATTCACATTTCAATCTACTCGTAATTTCTTTAAATCATTAACTGATTAATTTCAGAGAACGGTGCTCCAGATGCAAATGGTGGAATTAACAACGATCCCAATGCATATAATGTCTTCATACCGTTTCGTGCCTACTCTGCACGCAGAGGGGTAAGCAGATTATTTGATTTTAAATTCATATAAATTTGCTTTTTATTTATGATGGTTGGAATGAGCTAGGGAGGAATCCAACTCTGCATTCATCCTTTTTCTGTTCTAACTCGTATGTCATTGGATTACAGAATGTTCATTAGAAAATGTTTTGTAGGAGATCTTAATTGAAGGATACATGCCTGCACATATGCATTACAAGAGAGAATTCTAATCTAAGTAGGAAAAGAATTATAGTAACAATACAATCAATAAGGAAGTAATGTAATAATGAAGGTAATTAATAATAATATTCTATTTCCTAATACTAAATCATCATAATGTGTCAATGAAGATTGAAGAGTTCTTTGCATTGGAACCTAAAGTATGAAGAGCGAAATAGAAATTGGTGTTGTTAAAAGTGCTAGCTCAGCTTGCCTCAGATGGCAGATAAAGGCAACACACCAACAAAGAGAATTAGGCAAGATCTTAATGGAGAAAGCACTTTGGTATCCAAATAGAGTATAGATCCCACATGGAGGTGAATGAGGACTAGGTAGGAACTTTTAGAGTAATTGTATACAGTATAATTACTCATATGGAACACTACGGCACCATATGTGAGACCGAAGTGTATCGAACATACAACAACCCAAAATAATCCCAACTGCATTAGAGTCTGGGGACTGGGGGTGAAGATGTAATTAACCTACCCCTTTAAAAATTAAAATGCACTTTGGTAATCGTTCGGTTGTTCCATTTAGACCCTTGCAGCATTGCTACAATTACTACCCAAAACTTTGTTGTAAAGAGTATATAACAAGTAACAACCCATTTTAATCTCGATTCCATTGGGGTCTGGAGGGTCAAGAAAGGTCAAGACGTGCATAACCTTACCATTTTTATGAAAAACAATGAGGCTTTTCTCTTCCGACCCTTGAAACATTGTTGGTTTACAACTCAAAACATTGTCACTCGTGACTCTGTTGCGTTCATTGGAAATGGACGAGAAGGGTGTAAAGTCTTTTAATTGGTGTTGGGTTGATGCAGATAATAGTGAAGGAGGTTGTTGTTGAGGATACTGAAGTGCCCAAGGCAATAGGAGAGTACATCAACATGAATCGCATTTCCAACCTTGTTATTGGTGCATCAACTCGAAGTGCTATAGCCAGGTTAGTTACCTCATTCGATCGCTCTTATGCTCATAAATGAAAAATGGGTGCAACCCATACTGCAAAAAGTGCATTTCAAGTCACACTTGTTACGTCATTTTTAAAACCAATGTTGTGTGTGTAATTAAGCATCAACATCGGCTCTTAATATAGCATACTTTATATAAGGTTAGCTTTGGTAAAAAAACAAAAGGTGCATTACATAGTGAGAAGTTAAGAGGGCGAACTTGAGTGAGAGAGGAGGACAAACGTTCTAGCCGAAAGTGAAAAGATACATTGGTTTTTTAAAAGCCGGCATTATATGCTAGTTTCAAACTTTTTATTTTATTTATAACCCTAGCTTTTATGTAAAGACTAGAAACTAACGTGCTAACACAAAGATAACCCTAGTTTTTAAAAGTCTCTTTCCTAGTAGAGTACTTTATAAGATATAGCCCGGTTCTGGTATTAGTCTTACCCAGAAGCATCCATCGAGATTGGACTGCTTTAAATCTGTAATGCGATCATTCAACTCGTGCAAGCCTTCTGACCTCTATCATATGTCTGTGAGTAAGACAAACAATCGTTGATTGTCTTTAAGAATTCGGGTGTTTTGTTTGTCCTATGACAAACAACATACTGTCTTACTTGCAATCGTTCATTTCCAAGATATGGGTTCAATGAAATGGAGGGTTTTTTCATATGAGGTTGGTTTGATTATAAGTTCTCCAGGAAATTTTGGACTCATGATGTATCAACTATTGTGAGCAAGATTGCGCCAGACTTTTGCTCGGTCTATGTAATCTCAAAAGGAAAGCAACAGTCTGTCCGTCCAGCATCAAGAGTTCTTTCTACTTTTGCAACTCCATCATGGTCTCAAGTCACTTCATCACACGGTTCTAGGATCAGCAGTGCCGATTCAGAGGATAGCAGGTAAAAAATGAAAAGAAATAAATTTATGGTTTGGTTTTCTCCGTCTTAATTTAGTTGTCCATTTGTCCCAACCTTTCGAGTTAAAGGAATGGATTGGATTTACAAAAAGCAATTGTAATTGGTTGTCCTCAATTTTGGGAACAAGCTTATGCGCTATTTAGGGGTCTTTTAGGGCGATTCTTGGTCATTTCTCCACGGACAATGAATTCTCAACACCAAAAAGGAAAAGTGGACAACTAAATTCGGGCTTAGGGAGTTTTAAGTTTACTAATTCTCGTGGTCAAATTTCTTGAGGTCATCATCCTTTTTGAGGGGAGAGCAAAACATGAGACCTAAGCAAAGCATGGATAATAAAGACGGTAATGATGCTTCCATCAAAAGGTCAAGGAATTCATCCAGCCGCAGTTCTATTCTCGATGATCTAGACATCTTTGCAAAAACTAGCGATGGGCCTGTAAATCCCACAGGCCATGATTTAGACTTCACAAGGGTGCCAGAAGCAGTAAGTGATGGGGGCTCAGCTGCTGTAAGTTCAAATATCTTAGCTGATGTGGATTTGAAACTTCAAATATCTTGGCAATCAACTTTTATGGAAAAACTGAAATAATGCATTAAATCAGTTAAACTTTTGTCGTGAATAGGAGAATAGCTTGGAAATTGAGATGAAAAGACTGAAGTTAGAGCTGAAGCAAACCATGGACATGTATAACAATGCTTGCAAAGAAGCTATCTCAGCCAAGCAAAAGGTAATAATGGTTATGCTGATGACGACCCCAATTGTTGTTCATTAGGCACCTTTATTGCCTGTTTTTGCCAAAAAGTGTGTTTATTGCATCAAACAGTAAGTGTTTATCAATAAATGCACCTTCTCAGAGTGTCTGTAGGAATAAAGGTGCAACACCAACAACAACAACCCAGTTGAATCCCACTACAGTAGATGCAATTTGTTATAGGGGGGACACTTTTTTTTTGAATACTAGGTGGACACTTATATTCAAGAAAATTCAATATATTTCATCTTTTTTAGGCAAAAGAGCTTCAACAGCTGAAGATAGAAGAATCACAGAGGTTTGAGCAAGCTCGGAGTGCAGAAGAGGCTGCTCTTAAAATGGTTGAGATGGAGAAGGCTAAATGCAGAGCTGCCCTTGAAGCAGCTGAAAAAGCACAAAAGATTGCTGAGATGGAAGCACAAAGAACAAAGTATGCAGAGATGAAGGTAAAGAAAGAGACGGCAGAAAAGAACCGAGCCCTGAATGTTCTATCCCAAAGCGATTGTCGGTACAGAAAGTATACCATAGAAGAGATTGAGAAGGCCACTGAAAAATTCTCAAATTCAATGAAGATTGGCGAAGGCGGGTATGGTCCGGTGTATAAAGGCAAGCTTGATCACACACCGGTTGCCATCAAAGTTTTAAGACCTGATGCTGCACAAGGAAGGAAACAATTCCAACAAGAGGTACACACGCATGCCCTTGATTTTCAAATCTAGATTCATCCCAAACAAATGTATAGACACATAGTGGGCTGATAACATTGGTAGTCACTGAACACCTTACATATTTGTGATAACATTGGTAGTCACTGAACACTTTAATGGCTATGTTGTACTCATTCGGGTGATTTCTTTATCCCAAATTCTAATGCCATTTTTATCATTAATAATTTAAACTCCAGGTTGAGGTACTCAGTCTCATCAGACATCCAAACATGGTTCTTCTCTTGGGGGCGTGCCCCGAGTACGGGTGCTTAGTGTACGAGCACATGAGCAACGGCAGCTTGGAGGACCGCCTGTTCAGAAAGGGCAACACCCCGCCGATCCCGTGGGAGATTCGGTTCAAAATCTCGGCGGAGATCGCGACGGCATTGCTATTCCTCCACCAGTCGAAGCCCGAGCCGCTCGTCCACCGCGACCTCAAGCCGGCGAACATCCTCCTGGACCGTAATTTTGTCAGCAAGATCAGCGATGTCGGCCTGGCAAGGCTCGTCCCGCCTTCAGTGGCGGATGACGTCACACAGTATCACATGACGTCTGCTGCCGGGACGTTCTGTTACATAGATCCGGAGTATCAGCAGACTGGGAAGCTGGGGACCAAATCGGATGTGTACTCTCTTGGAGTGATGCTGCTCCAGATTATCACCGCGAGGCCCCCCATGGGATTGACCCACCACGTGGAGAGGGCAATCGAGAAGGGCACATTTCCAGATTTGTTGGATCCGACGGTCCCTGATTGGCCGGTGGAAGAGGCTCTTGAGTTTGCAAAATTATCTCTCAAGTGTGCTGAGCTCAGGAAGAAAGACCGGCCCGATCTTTGTACAGTGATATTGCCAGAGCTTAACAGGATGAGGGAACTGGGGATGGCGAGCCTGTCGTCTAAAAACTGTGACCAAACCTTTGGATGTTATGGTTGAAGAAGATCAACTGAGCCTTCATTAACGGTCATCCTAACATGATGGGGAATTGGTGATGATGGCAGACAGGGGAACAAAAACCTAGCTTATTTCTCAAACAGTTAAGATTCAAAAGGTTAAGGGCCTGTTTGGGAATAGCGTTAGCGTTTTCAAAAGGCTATCTACGGGCAGCGTTTTCAAATTAATCTGCACCGTTAAAATTTTATCCAAAACGCTAACGCTAATCGCTAACACTATTCCCAACGAGGCCCTAAGTCGCTCTATATTACTTGACAACATTTGGAAAATGGTTACATAGTTTAGTACTTTATGCTTGCAGGTGCTATTGGGCAATGGCCGGCAACAAGAAACTAAGGCTGTGGCAGGGAAAGAGAACTGGTAAAGTTAGTATCCTTTTAGTGTGAAAAGAACAAGTTTTTGTTTGTCATCAGTTATTGCTTCAATTCCTATTTTGTGTCCATGAATGAGCTGCTGTGCAACACTTCTTGACAGAATTAATCTGAAAATGTCTTATTCTCAATGAACTTGTTCATGTTTATGGATACACACACATCATTTGAACTGATCTACAAAGCCATGGTCTGGCAAATTATTTTTTTGGAAAAATTTACTCCAATACTCTCCGAATTGTGCAGTTTTGTATTATAATTCAATAAATGGAACAGTTGCTACCCTTCAACTTGGAGCACCCATATAATACATACTCCCCCCTAAATTGATTGTAGTTTTTTTTTCTCTCATCTCTCGATAACTTTTGCTTATTTGTATTTTTTTATTGCTCATTTGCTAAAATAAAAACTATTATCGCATCTTGTTTTGTATAACTTTTGACGTAATGCTTTAATATATAATTTTCATTTTTATTGATGTACCAATTTGTAAAGAAAATAAGTTCTAAAAATGAGAGATTTTGCCTCTTAAATTCCAATTTTTAATCTAACTAGGGACAGAGAGTGTATATCAATTTTGAGATCAGGGATTTAAACATATATTCTATGTGTCCCAGCATATTTTCCATTTTAACTTTTTTTTATTCAAACTGAACGAATTTTCGACATCAATTACTCTCCATTTTTAATACATATTAATATAACGAAATAAAATTTAGAAAGTTATTAATAAGATAAATTTAATAAAATCATTTACTTACGTGCATTACAATTTTTATTTAATTAAGGTTTAAAATTCGTCTAGTTTAACTCAAAAGAATTAATCTGAACGATTACACCAGGATGGAGTTAGTACTCCGTAAAACTTTTGGGAATAAAATCATACAATTTTGGGAGTAATGGTGTAACTTTGTCTTAATTTTTTCAAGGATGAAGACTAATTTTAAAAACACCATGGTCAAACTGCCAAATGGGCACATTATTAACCTAAAACTAGTGAAGAAACCAACTACATGTCTACACTATTTATTTACAGCTGGTACTTAATATAATCTCTTATATATCTTAATGTGTTAGAAATAGCTATTTGACCAATGTAATAATCATCATAAAAGTTTGATGGTGTGGAGTACATGCTTTATTAAGTTTATTATGATAAAAGTCATATTTTGCCTCTAAATACGTTAACAAGGTTCCAAGGGAGCAGTGCCCTCTTGGCGGGGGTTCGGGGCAGCACACCTCAGAGCAAGGTTCAAGAGGCGCTAGCCCCCTCGGGGTCCAAGAAGCAGAGCCCTAGTTGGGGTCGAAATTTTTTTATCCTGGACAAAGTGTTGTGTTAAAACTTTATTTGAATTTTTATTTTTTGATTTGGTACTTAAGAAAATCTAATGCGCCTCTTCTTGTATAAATCATCGAATAAACACACACATTAGAAAGAGGCACAACACAGTAGTTCGCGTTCTTTCCCACGTCTATAAGATTCGTTTGCAGATTGGTCAAGAGACATAGGTTTGAAAAATCTAACAAAATTCCATACTTTTTGTTCTTCAATTCTCTTATTTGTATCCGATTAAGAATTCATGTACACTATGTTTGGTTCAAGGAATTTGAAAGGGAAAAGAAAAGAAAATGGAGTGAAAACCATTTTTCTTGTTTGGTTAGAGTGGAAAAGAAAGGAAAAGTGGAAGGAAAAGAAAATGAAGAGGCAAAATGTACCAAGTGGAAGGAAAACCAAATTCCTTCCATTTTAGTGAGGAAAATGAGAGAAAACCATTTTCTTTTCTTTTCCTTCCAAAATCCTTGAGCCAAACATAGTGGTAAAGTACATAAATGTTTCAATATGAAAGTAATTACCCACCTTACAGAGAATCCAAGTATTGATTGGATATTTCTAACATGATCTTGTGCGAATTGGTGATTATTATTATTATGTCCAAGCATTGTCTACTTTGCAAAAGTGATGGCATTGTTGGAACACACTTTGCACGTTAAACTAAAGTCGTGTTCATTTCTGACAGGTTTTGATAATTGCCAAACCGCCGTGGATATGAAGAGTTTCGTTGAATAACTCAAGGCGTGAAGAATGGCTTGGAACAAGACCTAAAAGACTCAAGGACAGATCAAGAATTGAAGACTTAGTCGAGTCGGTCTTTTGTGATCAAAACCGATAATCAATTCAAGTCTCGGTTCTCAAAGAGTCAAAATTATTTTACAAAATCATAAAATGTTTTTATGCATCAAAATAAACATTTTAGATAAATCTCCTTATTGTTAAAATCCCTGGTCCTTGCTCAGAACCAAAACCACCTAAGTCGGCGTTCGGCTTTCGTCGTTCGGTTTTCGGTGTTCGGTTTTTTTTGGCGTCCGAACCAACTCCGTGGTTTTCAATATTTTAAACCCTGTTTTTATCTCTGAGCATATTTTAAAGGTTCCCGAATAATTATTTT